AGGCAGCAAAGGTTTAGGATCAGAATTTTCCTTTTCCTAGATGGGCTACCTTCCCAGGTTGGCGAACCCCATCTGCCCCTCACTTCCCCCTAGAGCACCTGCAGAAACCACCTTCTTGACTGCTGAACCCACTGTTGGTCTCATCTGCTCAATCCACTGGAGCCTGTCTTTTGATGCAGGGGAAGTCCCTAACTCAACTTCACCTGATTTAGCCAGCCATTCAAAGCCATTTCCCAGGGGGTAGTCACCATCACGTGTTATTGATATTAATATTTATTGTGTTGCATAATGCAGTCATTTATGTTATGATATATTTAATCACCATATTGATCAGCAGGAGTGGCTGTCCCAAAAGGGCAGAACTGAAGCAATAGCCTCATGGCGCTTCCACTAGTGGCCCACACGCATTCCTGCATTTCTCTCTCACTTTCCTTCTTGCAAAAAGTCCTCTCTTTGGGGGAAGTGAGTCTGCTGTGTGCAAGACCTCCCAAATCAACTGTAATTGTGCAGCCTGAATTGCTGGTATGTGATTGAATCCCATAATTCTAAAAGCACCCTTTCCACCCTCCATCTATGGGCATCTGTAGTAAGTCCTCTCATGTAAAGCTAGAAACATAGGAAGCTGTCTTTCACTGAGTATAGCTGCCCTTCAGGATATTCAGGCAGAAGCTTTCCCCAGCCCAACCTGGAGACACTGGGGGTTGTACCAAGAACTTTCTGCATGCAAGGCAATTGCTCAACCATGGATATATACTATCTGCATGCATCCAAGAACCCCACACATGTAGGTTGGAGGAAAGAACCACTATTTACAGATGCATTTATTCTACATGAATGAAGACCTGGAAAGGCTGTGCTTGATATGCCGAGACGCGGCTACCACACGAACCTGTTGCAAGTAGAATCATAGAACTGGAAGGGAACCCAAGGATCATCTAATGCAGCCCTTGCAATGCAGAAATGTGCAGCTGCCCCATACAGGAATCAAACCTGCAACCTTAGCCTTATCAGCACCACGCTCTCAGCAACTGAGCTATCCAGGCTCAAGTAAGTTGCAAGCTAGAAAGAATCCACTAGAGGGGAAAGGCAGCCAAGAAATAAGTGTGCCCTGCTTCTAGTAAGAACTTTAAAAGTTCCCGGCTAAATCAAAACAAAGTCCCATCTGGTCCAGCATCCTGTTCTCACAGTACCAACCAGAAGACCACAAACAAGACATGAGCGCAACATCTCTCTACCAATTTGTGCTCCCCAGCAACTGGCATTCAGAGGCAGACCATCTCCAATACTAGAGTTAGTACATTCCACCCTAACTCAGTAAAACTGGATAAAGACAGAAACTACCCCAGTGCAACAACAAAATGCTGGAAAACAAGCATTCTAATCTTCTGGCTGCTCTTGAATCTATGGCTACACGCACACACACACCATGTGTGTGGCTGTCCTGGAAAGCAGGGGTGGGCAGATCTGGACCTACTGGCCATTCTCTGGATAATTTGCAGTAGATTGGGGAGGATTTCTGATTCCCAGCTCTTGAACAATTATGGCAACGAAATGACCCCCTGCCCACACACAGCTCCAAACTATATTACCAATATGAATTGGGGCAGATTTTTGTGTGGAAGGCTCCATTCAGGTCTCAGAATTCTTGAATTCCCGGATGCAGAATTCTGTAATTATGGATGCATGTCCCTTGCACCATTCTACAAGTAGATGCATGTCCTTTTGCAACCCCCTGGTTGGTGGATCTTGGGAGTTCCAGCAAATAAACGTAGAAAGCCAGAAGTCTGCCCACCATGAGAGTCTGTTTTAGGAACTTTTTGGCAGCCATTGATGAATTTTGATTAAAGGCAATGGGTTTTGCATCAGGCCTCTTATTGGGGGAAGGAAAAGGAAAGTCAAGGACATGTCAATTTCCACACAGCGCTTTCTTCAAAATGACATTTTAATGATAATATTATTCAAACATGAAGGCAGGCGCTAGGAAGTTGGAGGGTTTTTTTTTTAAAGTTGGTGCTGATTGAATGGCGTATTCATCTGACAACAGTGAAATAATTTGAGGAGAAGAAACCACTGGCTATTACTGTGTTAATGACAAGTGATATTTCTCCTCTCCTCCCAAGTAAAACCTTTCACTTTTAATGATGGATTGGGGCTGGAGGGGACTAATTTACATTTTGAAGTGACGCATCAGTATACATTAATGTGATCGTGGTTTGCATGGAGAACAATCAAAAGCTGATTTCCTCTACAGTGTAACCCTTTTAAAACAGCAAAGTGTTTCTGGAAGTTATTAAAGTTGTATATCTGCCTTATCATTGTGTAGCTGAATCCCACCCCCCCACCCCAGCATCTTCAGAGGCAGTGTGCCTTCCCCATTTGGATTCCAGCCCTGCGTCTCGCTCATCAATACTTGTGCCAATAGCTCTTATTTGTTCAAGTAGCTGCAATTAATCAAACTGAAAGGAAGGAACTGGGTCATAATTTTGCAAACACATAACACTGGAACGAGCCTTTGGGAGAGGAGGAAAAGGTGCCTGAACCTAAGGGCACAAGAAGCACATTGCTGGATCAGAGCAAAGGCCTACCTGGTGCAGAATACTCTTTCCTACAGCAGCCAACCGGGTGTCTCTGGGAAGCCCAGAATCACAACATGCGAGAGCCCTGTCTAGCTGATATTCTGGCCTCTTCAGTATTCAGAGGCATGGTGTATCTGATCCTGGAGGTATCATATAGCCATGGAAAGCTTCATCCCCCATGAATTTTCTAATCCTCTTTTAAAGTCATCTGCATCTTGTGGACGTGATTCCCATAGACTAAGAACTTCGTTTTGCTTGTCCTGCATCTCTCACCATTTAGCACATCCCTCAGTTCAGGAAATATGAGCTGGGGGGGGGTCAGGAAAGAAACTTACCTCTATTCACTTTCCACACACTATGCATAATTGTATACACCGCTCTCATATCCCCATTGCCAATCTCTCTCTCTCTCTCTTTGTAAATCGAAAAGACTCAAATGTTGTAACCTTTTTCCACAGGGGAGTTTACCAGGTCCTTGATCATTTTGGTTTTCTGAACCTTTTCCTGCTCAATGACATCCCCAGAACGCACATAGTATTCCAAGTGGGGTTGCACCATAGATTTGGATAACTGTGTTGTGATGTTGACAGCATTGCTTTCAATCCCATTCCCAGCAATTTGCCTTTCAACGGAAGAGGGGAATTTGGACAGCTTGCCATGTAGGGGTGGCAGCAGCTGAATCTGCTGCAATTTTCTCTTCCGTGTAACTGTTCAAAGGAGAGGATCCCTGCCCTCTTTTGCATTCACACACCACAAACCTGGCGAGGCAGCAGACTTGCAATCAGCAGCCCTCCAGAACTCTCATGCCAACAGAAAGGTGGAAGAGACATCCACTTCATAAAATAAATAAATCCAGACCTATATACAGAGACAGGCACGTCTAACCCTATATGGGTTCAAGTTGGTACCATGTTTGTTTCGATTGGTCCAGTGTGATGGAACTAGTGCTAATGTGGCTTTAAAATTCGTGGGTCATCCTGTTAGCCTGAGAATTATAAGGCAGGGACAAGCCACACACACACAAATCAGAGACTAAGGTCCTTCCCACCTCAATTTCCCTGCTCTGTTTACCAAGTGGAGGCTGTTTGTTAGGGAGTACAAACATGCAATTGGGGTTTTAATTAAAAAATAAATAAATTAACGAAATACAACAATAACAATAAATGACCTCAAGCCCACGCTGCTGATCTTTCAACCAGAACTATTTCAAAATTCCCTTTAGCCATACTTAAACATTTGAACAACTTCCCCCAATCAGTATCTTCTCCTGAACACACAAATGTGACTTCTCACTGTGCGCCAGATTCAGCAATCCGGATTATAATGACCTGCAAGATTCTTCTTGTATAACAGTGGCTTATTTGAATGATAGGAGGGGGCTTGGAGCCAGCCAGGGACTGATATTAGTCAGTACTTAGTCTAAATTGTCAGAATTAACCTTCAAGAGCATTCTAGCCTAAAAACCTCTCTCTTTACCCCCCCCCACCCCACCCTATGGAAGTATCAGCCTATTTTAAAAAGAAACAAAACAAATGTAGAAATCACACCCGTTCGACAACTACATAGAGATATGCATCAGGGGGTCGTCCCCGTCCCCCGTCCCCCCCATTCCTGCTGCACTTATAAAGTGTGTGGCTGTTATTTTAGACAGGTTCTCCCTGTCGGCTTCCACCTGCAGGGAGGTGAAGTCTGGAAGGAAGCCCATTTAGATCCAAGTGCCTCTCGCTCGCTCGCTCTAGCTGAGGATCTCACTACAGCCTCCGCAAAGAGAGACTCCCAGGTCTGCATAGCACCAAAAACCTCAGTAACAAGGGAGGGGACAGCCCCTGAGCAAGCGCGGCGGGGGAGTGGGGAGGCGAGAGAAAGGGAAAGGACTCCCCCAGGAAAAGGAACGGAGGAGCATTCTCTCCCCAACACACACACACAACCTGCACACACACACACACACACACACACTGCAAGGAGTCTACATTAGGACATCATCGGGAGCAGGAAGAATTATTGCTGATCTTTTCCCACCACCAATCCCGCCCTGAACAGCAGCAGCATCCCCCTAAACCGGCCCTGCAACAACACCTCCCCAACCCCCAAAATAGTGGCATTTCATGGGGCCCAGGAGCCTTGCGGGGTTTCCTCTCCCACCCCACCTGAACCTGCCTCCTCACGGAGGAATCTGGACCACTTTTTCTTCTGTCAGACTTCTCCGGGCTCCCACCCAAAGGCATCCCCACCTGAGCCAGGAGGAGCTCCGGATCGAGCCCGGATTCGCCGAGTCCCGCATTGGGGCCGACCGAGCAGTCCCGGGGACGCATTCACACGTGCACGCGAACATCGCCAGCAGCGCTCCCTGCAGTCTGCCCGGGAGGGTGGTCCTCCCGGCTCCCTCCCCGTCCCACCGCCGCCGGGATCTCCTTCTCTCCTCACCGTTGGATCTCCTGACGATGTTCTCCAGGAAGGTATTCTGGGGAGCCACCAGCCCTCGCCTTCCCCCAGCCATAGTCGGGCGCGCTGGCTCGGGCACGGCGGCCGGGCGAAGCTAGGCGCTTGCCTCTGCGCGCTCGTCTTCGTCTTCTTCTTCCCGCTCTGAGCTCCTCATGGTCCCCTCCGGGCGGCTTTGCAGCATCAGCTCCTCTCTCGCGCCCAGCCACTCAGGCTCCCTCCTCCCGCGCCCGCTCGCTCGCTCGCTGCATCCCCGCTCGCCGCCGCCTCCCAGCCGCCGCGCCTGGACCTTGTCCGGCAGCGCCCTCTGCCGGCCGGCCGGTCGCCCAACAGAGCTCGCTGGCAGGATGGCTTCTTTGGAGCAGCTGCCCTGAACAGGCTGATCGGGTTGCATTGATTCGCATCCCGAGCTGACCTCTGGTTTGTTCCAAAGGAAGTCTCTCTGACCTCAGTTGGGCTCGCTCCAATTGTAGTTTTGGGACTACAATTCCCATCATCCCTGACCACTGTTAGCTAGGGGTGATGGGAGTTGTAGTCCCAAAACATCTGGAGGGCCAAGTTTGCCTATGCCTGGTCCACAGCCTCCCGAGGGAGTCCATTCCACTGTCAAACAGATCTTACTGCCAGAATTTTTTTCCTGGTTAGTCTGAATCTCCTTTCTTGTAACTTGAAGCCATTGGTTCAAGTCCTGCCCTCTAGAGCAGCAGAAAACAAGCGTGCTCCATCTTTCATGTGACAGCCCTTGAGGTATTTGAAGATCCCAGAAGACCTGGGATAGCTCAGAGCATGAGACTGTTAATCTTGGGGTTCTGGGTTCCAGCCCCACGCAGGGCAAAAGTTTCCTGTATTGCAGGGGGTTGGATTAGATGACCCATGGGGTGTCAGGAGTTCACCCTACACTCAAGTAGGACCCTGGCAGAGACTGGCATGTTCTCTCCCTCCTGGTCTTTTGTTCGGGAGCTTCAAAAGCTTTCTTCTGCCCGAACATCACAGCAACCGATGACAACTGACACCGGCACACTTAGGGATCCGCAGAGTTTGCACATCATGCGTAACAGACCTCAGCAACTCAGCATTTTGGCTAATCTACTTTATTTACATATAAACACACACGGAGCACTGCAACATGGCTCCCTCTCTCTCTAGCATCAGACAGCAAAAAGAACAAAGGACAATAGTCCCACTTCACAGAACACAGTAACACAAACATCCTGTTTCCGTCACTTCCCACTCTGTGGAGTCAAAACATGTACCGTCATGTGATAGACAACAATCCCATGACTGCAATCATGGAGCAGGAATTCTAACATGGGGGTCCCTTCCAACTCTACAATTCTAAGGGCCCCAATGGCACCACCATCCCAAAATTAACACTTTAAAAAGTCCCCTGACCATTTAGACACCAGCAGCATCTCCCTTGTGGTGCCTCATTTCCCCCCTGCTGTATGGAATGAGTTTAGATCTGGCCCACTCCTTAACTCAGGGCGAATGGCAATGCTTTGAAACCTACCTAGAATAGCCATTTTAACATGGAAGAAATCAGCCCCTCTGATAGTGAATTCAAATAGTAAGTACCCATTGCTACGTAGCCAAAATAGAGCCCTGGGAGACAGCTCAGCATGTTTGGTTTTTAGAAGAACAAAAAAACAAAACCCTCTACCGACAAACAAGCGAAACAATGAGACATAAGACAGCCCTAAGAGGACTCAGGATGCTCAATGGCTGCAGAATGTTTTGTGTCTTATCGGTACAGAAAAGTAGGGAAACAGGGTGGGTGGAGGTGGAATGGAATGGACCACCCCGGAGTGGTACATTGCTAGCGGGCTGGCGGAGCCCTGAATTGGAGCACTCCTCACAGGTGAAGACACATGGCAACATTTCTGCAGAAGAAACACTTATTACCAAACCTAGTACTGTACTAGCACTTCTTCCTTATCTTAAAAGACTTTAAAGCCAGCTAGTGAAAGTTAGGATTGTGTGTAGCCTGTATGACAGGACACAAAATCATTTTATTTTGGCACCTCCCCCCAACTTTTATCCACACAACAATCCTGCAAATTTAACTAGGCTGTGATGGTGACTGGGCCTTCAAAGTGACACTTTTTATCCCAGTCAGCACCTGTATTGGATTTGAAATTGTTTTTATATTGGCAATTGCCTTAACTGGTTTTTCTTTTTTTTAAATATATAAATGAAATAAATAAACCAGTAAGCTCTGCGGAGGACCAAGAATTGAGCCTAAGGCGCCCCAATTTAAAGCACCCTTAGACCACTTTAACAGTTGTTGTTTAGTTGTGTAGTCATGTCCGACTCTTCGTGACCCCATGGACCAGAGCACGCCAGGCACTCCTGTCTTCCACTGCCTCCCGCACTTTGGTCAAACTCATGCTGGTAACCTCGAAAACACTGTCCAACCATCTTGTCCTCTGTCGTCCCCTTCTCCTTGTGCCCTCCATCTTTCCCAACATCAGGGTCTTTTCCAGGGAGTCTTCTCTTCTCATGAGGTGGCCAAAGTATTGGAGCCTCAGCTTCACAATCTGTCCTTCCAGCGAGCACTCAGGGCTGATTTCCTTAAGAATCAATCTGTTTGATCTTCTTGCAGTCCATGGGACTCTCAGGTTAACAGTCGTAGCTTCCCACAAAAAATGCTGGGGAACTGTTATTTGCTAATTGGGCTGGGAATTGTAGCTCTGTGTGTGGTCTCCCAACAACCCTCAGCTCCCTTAACAAACTACAGTTCCCTGGATTTATGTGGGGAAATAGTATCAAAGTGGTATATGAGTGCTTTAAATGTATTGTGTGTGTGTCCTTTGTCCAACTCACTTTAGCCAAGACATGTCCAAAGTGACACAGTTGTACTGTTCTAGTTGCCAGTTGACTATTCACCTTTGGTGAGCAGGAATCATCTTCAGGCAGCCTGACACAGATTTTGTAGACTGGGGGTGGGGCGGGGGGGGGACTCAGTCATTGTTTTCCTTTTAAATGATATTTTAAATTAAATTAAATATACCAATTAAATGATATACCAGTTAAATGGTATTTTTAAGACAAATAAGAAGAAATGTTTTAGTTATGAGATATCAAGATTCCAAAAAGGTTTGTTGAGAAATAATGTTAAATTACTGTCAAAAATGTGTAGATTGCTCTTGGAAAGGCATACAAAAGATGAACAGGTTAAATCTCTAATGATACACTGGGCAACGGATTGCAAATTCAGATTGCAGATTGGGAGAAGTTATAGAAAATAGATTTGAAATTTACGGCATGTTGTACACTGAAAGAAAATTATATGAAAATGATGTGCCAGTGGTATTTGACTCCTAGTAAGTTAGCAAAAATGTATAGAACAAGTACAAATACCTGCTAGAAATGTAAAGAGAAAGAAGGTACCTTTTATCATATGTGGTGGTTGTGTAAGGCAATAAAAGCTTTCTGGGAGATGATATAAAATGAACTGAAAAAAATATTTAAAATAATGTTTGTTAAAAAACCAGAAGCCTTTTTATTAGGAATTATAGGTACTGAAATTACAAAGGAGAGAAAAGACTTTTTATGTATGCGACAACAGCTGAACAGATGCTTCTAGCCCAGAGATGGAAAGAAGAAAGTGTACCTACCAGTTAGGAATGGCAAACTAAGCTGATGGACTATGCCGAAATGGCAAAGCTGACTGGAAAGCTCAGAAACCAGGAAGACAAAAACTTCTAAGAAAGAATGGGTAAAGTTTAAAATTTATTTAGGAGACCTCTGTAAGCAGATGAATACATTGGCAGGATTTTAATAACACTTGTAATGTAACAAGTATTATGGACAGATTTAAAATCTGGACTATGAAATAATATACAGTTGAAAACGTTGACAATAAGACCCAAGGAGGGGATGGAAAGAAGTCTAGAGATTCAGAGGAAGCTCAAAATGTTGATGTTTATTTGGTATCGTTATAACTTTACACTTTTAAAATCAATTAAAATTTATTGTCAAAAAAGAACTCATTATTTTCCTTTTAGGCCATTATTGTGCATTGGAAATAATATTGTTATAGGATTGAACTCTTTGAGAGCAAACAAACTGAAGCCCAGACAAGGCAGAAGAGATTGATGTGTCTTAGATGTGGTTGCACTCCCCTTAAAAACACAAGTTCATAGTTTAGCAGGGTACTCCTAGATTCAATCCTAAACCTGGATACCCATGTTTTGGTAGCAAAAAGCAATGTTTTGGGCCAATTATGGAAAGCTGGCCAACTGTGCTCTTTTCTGGAGATGTCAGATGTGGCCACAGTGACACACACATTAGTCTGGAGCTAACGGAAGTTGTAGTCCAAAGTGTGTGGAGGGCACTGGGTTCAGAGACTTTTGACCTAAAGCTATAACATTCACCACAATTATCACAATTTTGAGCTACTATATTTTTCTCCACACTTTGTGTGTGTGTGTGTGTGTGTGTGTATCTTAATTCAAGCTATGCCCTTTCTTTAAGTTTCTTAATCTTCTGAGAGTTTGATCATATAGCATTTTCTCAGTTCCTCCTCTTAATCTCTCCTCCGGTGAGTAATATTAAATGAACTTCTATAGATCACCTATTGATTTTTGTAAGCACTTGGCCGTACCTTTACTACCTGGCGCAATTATGCTTAAATGTTTCCATTAGATATTACTAAGGAGTATCATATTTAATACCGTAATACTGTGCAGCCATGAATGTAACATTATGTAACAATGGACATTTTTCTTGTAATACTGCAGTTTTAGTCTCAATGCCGCCATGATATTTTATATTTAAATGCAATTTATAAATATATAAATGTGCGAGTGGAATACAGAGTAATTAAAATAAACCTTCTTCAGATGTTTCTATTACTTTGCTTCTGCTTTCCCTAGTAGGCTTTAAACTCAAAAATGTCTATCGATGAAAAACTGCCTAATTGCTTGGCTGGACTTGGCTTTCCTCTGTAGTAACAGATCAGGCACATATTTAGCCTGGCAAGGGAATAATCTCACTGACGGTCTTGTTAACAGAAGCTTTCTGCTTCATAGAGGAGCCTTTGGGGAGTTTGAAGGAAGTATGCAATATCTGACAGCTTAAGATACTGGAATACAGAAAACGAAGATGATTTTTCCCCACCTGCAAATGTGACTTCAGTTTGGGAAGTTACATGCCATCAGGTATCCCACCGTTAGGTAATCAGGCCCAGCAGCAGTTCCCAACATGGTGGGATAAATGCTAGGATGGCACCA